CTTCCAGCGTAGTGACGTGGAGGCAGGGGCGGGAGGGAAATCGTCCAAATCGCAGAAGCCCGCCCTGGATCCGCCTTTGAGGCTTGTATACATCAGATTTTACTTGCTGTGAGTAGTCTTCCCCTCCTGAGCATTTGCTGGACTGTTGAATTTTTACGCTGCGGTTACTTGTCCCACTGTGGCCCAAAGTGCGTAAAATTAGTCCTCATCCATGCCAGTTCCTCGCAGATACACTGGACTGATTTCTATTATCACTTCAGATACACTGGACTGATTTCTTTCATGGCATTAAAAAAATGAATTGTAAGATGCCGTTTACAACCTCCTTAGCATTTTGTGTTGGGACATTTTTGTCACCACTACCCATGAAACAAAGAAAACTCTCTGCTTCTGCAACTGCATGGAAGACGCGAGTGTACCATTTTTTTTTTTTTTTTTATTAATGTTTGTTACAGAGAAGGGTGATTTCGTGAATGCCGATGAAGTGGTCGCTGAAATCGAGACGGACAAGGTCATCCATCTTTCTTTCTCTCAAGTAGATAGGGCCATTTTAAGGTTTTCGCCCTAGTGTTCTGGTCCGATGTTTGACCAGAACCTGCAGACGGGATAAGCACAGGGAGACGCGTTTGACTTTGTCTTTGGTTTGCAGACATCTGTGGAAGTGCCATCACCTCAAGCGGGAACCATAGTAGAATTGCTTGCTGAGGATGGCGGACGAGTGGTGGCCCACCAGAAATTATTCGTGCTGCAGTTAGGAGGAGGTGAGCTATTCTGCTTGCTTTGAATTTTGTTTTGTTGCGTTTTTATTATTCTCTATTCATATATTCACGGACATAATCACTCATATTGCGTTTTAAAAAATACGTTACCTGTGTGCGACTCATAACTCTTTTTTGACAAGCAACTGGATTGCATTTATGGTGTGGCTGGCGTGTCCGTGTAACACAAACACATGTTGTGTTGTTCCATGGCCTAATGTTCTGAAGTTTCGCTGTTCGGACCACGTAAGCGAGCCAAATACAGTAAAAAATGGAGTGAAATTGAATAACAAAATATTTGTTTCTCTTAGTTATGCAGAAAAACTAAAAAAGACTCCTATCGCTGATGTAGACAATAAACACACTTTTGCAGAGGCTCAAGCAAAGCCAGTTGAGGAAGCAAAAAAACCGGATGAGAAGCCAGTGGCAGCGCCACCACCCCCAGCATCGTTCAGTCCTGAACCAGCAGCAGCAGTGCAGCCTCCTCCACCGAAACAAGCGAAGTTACCAGGTGAGTGCATTTAAAGTGAAGCATGATGCAATGGTTTGTGAAGCCGCTGTCTTTCGTCAGGGAATGCGTCAGTGATTCATGTCCCATTGTGAAATTTCATTCTTTTCCGGCTTTGTTTATTCGTTTTGATAGCACAGATACAAAATAATGTTCATATACACGAATACAAAGTAATGTATATGAACATTGTTTTGTGTTTGTGCCGTCAAAATGAATAAATAGCAGGAAAAGAGTGAAATTTATTTATATGTATACATATATGTATATCTTTAACTTTTTATTTGTGCCTTTAAAAAGTGAAGGATATGGGAGGGCAGGGACTACAAAAACCCTCAGACGTTGGACGGATGGCGCTACGGAACAACTTGAATTCTCAGTATGCATTGTTGTCGAGGGATGAAATCGGGCCGTCTTCAGAAACTGATAAAACATCATGCGACGTCCTCAGTGAGTATGGAAAACGGCGAAAGACCAGATGCAAGTAGACTGAAAAGATGGTTAAATGATTCTGCGGAGCACGGAAGAAGGGTTCTCTTGTCGAGTTTTGCAGAGTTCTCTTGTCAGTTCTTCCCGTCGGGAATCGATGTACTCCTGTTCGCGCTAGATTGTATTAAAGCCCTTAAAACCATCCAACGTTTGTGTTCCCACTATGGCCAGCGATGAAGATGAATTGGAAGAGTTCTGTGGTGAGCTCGAATCTGTGTTAATCGTTAAACCTAAAATTTACGCTGTGCGGAATTTCAGTACAGGGCTTGTACAATGAGAGGCACATCGACAAATATGAAATTGAAAGGTGGGGCGGCAGAAGACATTTAAAGCTGACTACATTGGCGTAGATGAGCCGAGTGTTTGATTTAAGAAAGATGCGAGATGCAAATAGAATTGGGTATGCAAAAGTTCAAAGAACAAAGTCAGCCACGTCTTCACTGATGTTTGGAGCATTCTCAAGGTTGTTTTCGAATTATTCTTCTTTGATACGGGAGTCGATGATACGCGTGTTGCGGACAAGAATATATGTTGCCATGGCTCATTTTCTTGAAGAGTATTGTATGACAAGTAAGTGCAGCAGATGTTAAGAAATCGGTCGAGTAGATGAAGTGATAGGTTAAGAATACCGGTTGGACAATGGCGGCAGATGTTGCGGAGAACACAAATGCCTCGTTAGCAAGCTTACTGAGTGAGCAAAAAGAACGGAGTGTGCTCGATGTTGACAGTCCGCTTTGAAGATTCCCGCAGCCATAAAAATGATGTGAGGCAAAGAAAAAGGGTGAAGACGGATAAAACCTGAGCGTGAAGTACTCCGTTCTTTGCATGGATATCAGGCAGAGGCTGAGGCAAAACTGCAACAGTCGATGGAAGGTAGGGACTCTTCAAAAACCTGAGGAGGTGCAGGAGAGAACGGTCCCTGTGCCACTTCCCCCCGCCCCTCCCAGTGTCAGCGCTGAGGAATTAAAATGAGCGTGGGATAATGAGCTTGATAGATGTGGAAGACATTTATCGAAAATTCGACAGCATCACGTGCCTGTATTCTAGAACTTGTGATTCGTATCATCAGGCACCAGATCTCTCCAGTATTTATAAATGAGATGAGGTGTGCAGCTCAAATGGAATCCGGCAGCACTTTCCTTAACAACAAATCCGCATTCGTTTCCTTAACAACTTTCATATTGTTTCCATCAATCTCCATCTACGAACAGCTCAGAGCATAGCATGCATCTCTACACTTCGGAATGCTTTTTCTTAATCGATGAAGAGACAAGGAGAAAATTGGCACTTACTTGTTTATTATAGCAAAAATGTGCTGGAATTAATTAAGATTGCGTTGACATCGTTGTCAGATCCGAAAAGCATGAACTCTCAAGAATTCTCTCCATTAGGTTTATTCGGTACCTGACCAAAGGGAGGTTGCCTAGTAGTCGGAAAGAATCGAAATTCTTTTTTAATTCACAAAACGAGTAATGAAGGTCTGAAGATCTGCTTCTTTCTCATGTTTGTGACTTGTTTACGAGAATTATCACTAATCACTGAACTCCTTAATGAATAGCAGATTAGGGCGCAAACTGCATTCCGAATTAATTTCAGCACATTTCCGCTTTATGCCATTTGCTATAACACGCAGCTGGTTTAAAGCAGAAATGTGCTGAAATTGCCAACTTTTTCCATGTCTCCTCTTAGTCGATTACGAAAATGCATTCTGAAGTGTAGAGCTGTATATTGTGCTCTGAACTGTTCGTACACGTAGATTGACGGGAACGATATGGAAATTGTTAAAGAAACGAACGCAGGCTGTTCGAAAGCACTCCATTCCTTATTACTGATCGAGATGATTCTGAGCTTAGGCGATATTATATAGTTCGGGGGTTTTACGGTCTGCATCGAGATGGCATTTTGCAAACTGAATTGGAAAGATGGTCTGGAGATCACTTCAAGCGACTAAACCATTTATGCTTTGACACTGCCATAATTGTCAGTGCGACTCAAACTTGCCAAAATAAAAGAAATGCTACGAAAGCCTGGCGCACAACATTAGGAAGTATCCAGGCTGTTTGACAAAAGCACCTCTTCTTTCATCTGGATCCATAAACCGATTTTTTGGGGCTTGGGAATGAGGACTGCATATTGTATAAATTTTCCAAAGCCTGTGTTGAGATGGATTTTTCCAAGCTAATTTGAGAAAATGGCTCAAACATCACTGACAAATATTTGAACTATTTTCGCTTTATGGATGACACAGTTCTCACAACATTCAGTCCTGTCGGCATGAAATAGATGCTGCAAGAGCTTGACACATAAAGTAAGGGAGCGGGCTTAGAAGTTAACGAACTGAAAACGGATGTGGTCCAAAGTGCCGGTACGCTCTCAACCATATTATAAATTTACTGTGATGACTTAGAAGGAATTGGCAGTCATGCTTCTCTTGGTGAGGAACTAAATGCACACTACCTCCAGGAGAAAACTGCTCGTTGGGCTGCTGGTTATCTCAAATTTCTTCGAACCAGTGCCCTCGAAATATCGATCTGAAAGATCGTACTCACATTTTCAGTACCTCTTTGCTTGAGGCAGTTGCGTACATTTGCGAAGCATAATCACTGACAAAGGCAGAAGAGGGGTCAGTGGTTGTAACGAGAAGCAGTGAAGTAAACAGTGCTTGGCGTTTCTTTTCATGGTTACATGAGCAATCAAACTGTGACAGAAGAGCGATTTGAGAGATATCTCTGCGACGGTGGGAAAAAGTAATATCCGATGTTGCTCCCCTTGCCGACTGCATGTAAACATCGTGGATTAGTAGTCATGCTCACGATAAAGTAAACGATTACCCGGGCTGCTTCTGAAGAGGTTATGCACATCTATCAAATAAAGTAATAATGTTGCTGATTGAGTGATATCTTTCCAGAAACACGTACTGCAGCGCCAGTTCCCCCACCACAAGCTGCGGCGTCTAAGCCGGCGCCTGCTATCGAGAAAATATCGCCAGTAGGTGGTGAGAAACCGTCTGCTGGTACGAGGGGTGAGACACGTATCAAAATGAATAGAATGCGTTTGAGGATTGCGCAGCGGCTAAAGGATGCACAGAATTCGTACGCCATGCTGACGACATTCAATGAAGTGGACATGAGGTTAGTTGCTCGCATTTTAAGCAAACTGTTCTGTCATTCAGGGCTGTTTTGCACTGACTAGTGACCATTTCATTCTGCACTGTTTTTGATCCCGATTTAGTAACCGCAAGGTGCAAAATGCGGCCCAAGTTTGCAGGAGAAGGTGCACATATCGTGAATCGTGCAACTGAAGTAGTATTTGTTGCGTTCTGCGCATAATCGCATATGGTTATCCCGAGATAGCCAAAGCTTCTTTGCTACAGATTATTATCATCAGTCATGATATATGCCGCGTGTCTAATTAATTTTAGCACTATCACTTCAGACCTTGGTCTTTTTTGAGGGGCAACTGTTGGCGACGCACAGTTATTTCGGGTTTATCCATCTGTCCGTTTATAGTTTTCACTGGATTTTCAAGGCTGATCACATGCACAGTATTTTATAACATTAAAGCGTAGCTAAGTAAAAAAGTGATGTAGCTGTGCCAGAGCATCAACACTACTCAACATTTTTATGTTTTCCTGGGGTGCTAGGGACCCATGGTAATAGCGCTGTCTTCACACCGAATATAGGTAAGTTCTAGCGACTCAAACGGACACGAATTTTTCAGCAGTGTGGTAGAAATGCGAAAGCGGTATCAAAAGGAGTTCACTGAGAAACATGGCATCAAAATAGGTCTGATGTCACCATTTATTCGGGCTGCCACTTACGCATTACAAGAATTCCCGACAGTTAATGCCGGTGAGTTTCTTCTTTTAGTGATGCAACTTTGTAATATCGATCGCTGGGATGTGATTCAAATTTGTCACTCCACAAGGTGCTTGTTGTCCAGATTTTGGACTTCACTTATTTTTTCTTGAAAAAAGGAGCGTGGAGCGAACGAGGCTTTTACTGAAAATTATTGTAATTATCTGTTTTAGCATAATTTTGAACATAAAATGTGCATGGATTCTTCATTGAGCATCTGTTGTGCTGACGATATAAAAATCTTTTCCTGCGCAGGAGAAGTCGCTTTTTTAGCAGTATTATTACTGTGATTCATGGCCAAATTTGCATCCAGAATCTTCGTTACATAAGCGATGGGATGCCATTGCGCCCTAGTAAAGAAGCAAAAGCATGTGGACGGAATATTTTATTCGATTTACTTACAACCAACGGGCGTTGCGCATCAGTGGGATGATTTCGCAGGAAAATGAACTACCGCTCGGAAAGCCCTTAGAGCAGTGAGGCACACACACACTTAAATGCCTTTTGTGTTACAGCATTTTCACAAAACGCATACTGCCGAAACTCTGTTTACGTATGTGTGTGTACGTGTACCTGTGTGTGTGTACGTGCACCTGTGTGTGTGTACGTGTGTGTATGTGTACGTGTGCGTGTGTGTGTATGTACGTGTGTACGTATGTATGTTTGTATTTCGAGTGCATTTTATCTAGGAGTTTCAACTCGGGGGGCAAAAGAAGGTAGGAAGCTGAAATTTTAAGGAGAGATCCTCCGTCATCATGTGATCTCGCAAACTCAAATTTAGCGTCCGCTCGCGCCTAATCTTTATCTACGGCTACATGGAAATTTTGTCGTCTAAACTAATAACTCGGAAAGCACAGAAAGTAGCAAGCTGAAACTTTAGGCAAATGTTCCTTGCTCTCATACGACCCCCATAAAGTCAATCCAGCCTTCACGTGTGCCCAGGTCTCACGAACGGGCACGTGGAACTTTTGATGCGGAAGTTATTAACTCAAGGACCAGGAAAGCTAGGAAGCTGAAATTTTAGCATGATTTCCTTTGCTTGCGTATGGCTTGCTAACTCAAATTCAGCTTCCCCGCATGCGCAGATCTTACGTAGGGCATGTGAACGCCAAAATTAATTCAGGGGCCACGAAAGCTAGATAATTGAAATTTTAGCGTGGTGTTCTTGCCCACGTATAAATCCAGCCTCTGCGCGCGCCTAAGTCTCAAATATGAGCACATGGAAGTCGGCGCCAAAAGTAATAACTCAGAAACCGCAAGACCTAAAAGTTTGAATTTTTCTATAGAATTCCTTGCCCGCGTTTGACCCAGAAAAATTGAACTCAGCCTTCAAGTGCTCCTAGGTCTCGTGTACAGGCACATGAAAGTTTTGGCGCGAAAATTATTAACTCGGGAGCCAGAAAAACTGGGAAGCAAAGATATTAGGAGAGCGTCCCGCGCCTGCTTAACCCCGCAAATTCATATTCTGCCCCATCCTCTTCACCGCGTTTGCCCAGAACCCATGCAGGTACATGCGAAATTTTTAGCGCCAAAATTAACTCGAGAACTAGGAAAAAAGGAGGCTGGAATTTCACAATAATGCTCCTGCCTGCTTATAAATTCGTCCCCGCGCTTGCACGGGTCTCATGCATGGACAAGTTCAAGTTTTGGTGTCAAAATTAACTCACAAACCACAGACAGTAAGGTTTTGGTGCCAAAATTAACATGTAACGTACCAAATATTAATGCACTGTACCTACCAACAAGGTTATCTTGAACAAAATTGTACAGGCATCAGCTGCACAGAGTTGCAGAAGCGTCCGTCAGACAAAATTGCACAAGCGTTCGCCGGATGGAGTTGCACAAAAAGCTTGATCGCACCAGTTGCACCTCTATTTATTTGTATTTGAAGGCATACAGTTCAGGACGACTCTTACGGGGTAGCTGCATCTGGAGTGTGAGAACGTTCCAATAACGCCATTAACATCAGTCCTTCCACGGATTAGTTTTGCAGTCTTGGTAATCTTGATATCATAGCAAGAATGATCAAATATTATAGTAATTGACGAAGGAGAGATATTGTACCGACATTATATCGATCTATCAGTGGCGGTGGCAACGCCGAAGGGCCTAGTAGTGCCGGTACTGCGCAATGTCGAAACCATGGATTATGCAGCAATCGAGAAAGCGCTCAATGAATTTGCTGTCAAAGTAATTTCTCAAAAACTTCATGTTTGCGCAAAAAAAAAAAAATAGTACCGTTCCAGGCACATATGCATCCTTTACTGGAAAATGAAAAGCCAAAGAATTTTTGGTTGTGAGATATAAGTATAGCAAAAATCATTCTAATTTCACTGTTTTGTATATTAGCGAAGGGGTCATATGCTAATAGGTGCGGTGTTAAAGAATGCAAAAGAAATAAAAGGGGAAATAAATAGTTTTTACTTTGATCAGCTGTTGTTTGTGCAGTTGGCAACTTCGCCATTCTCCTCTGCTTTGAACCTTTATCACTGGTTTGAATCCGTACTGCAGTTTGAAAGAGTCTTTTCATCGCATTGGCGCCCCTTCTTGGGTTCTTTTTTAACACTGCTTGAGTACTTTCCAGCAGTCCGCCTCAGCTGTCTCTTTCTCATTCTTGTCGAAAAATCAGAAGCAGCAGCTTGTTATTGCCCACTCTATGCTGTTTCATGACTAGTTGGGTTACTGTTAACTTTTCTTTCTCAGCAAGAAAAATATTCCACGTCTCACTTCCATTCAATAGAACTGATAACGCAGTGGAATTTCTTTTTCACGGCCGTTGATATGTTGTTGTTGTTGGGAAGGGTGTGACTTGGTGAAGGTTATTCATTCTGCCCTTTTTTCCTGCTTAACTTCATACTTAACTCATTGTTCATCTATATTGTTTGGTCCAAATAGTTATAGCTCTCCACAAGCTCAGCTTAATAATTTTCGAGTCTCGTATGGAATTGGAGGGATGCGTGTTTTTCATCTTCCGTGAATCTGGAGTTCAATTTTTTTCCGCAGTAAGCATAATACTTTCCACGAAGGGAATCTTATGGGTTATTATAATATCCCTCTGTTGTTTGTTTTGCTATAAAACGTCTTCAAGGAAGTACATTTCGCCTTGCGCACGTTCTGCCGACTCTTCACTCGCCGAAAGGTAGTTTCTGCGTATGACCTAGTGTGGAAAACTGTGATCATTCTCATATGTATCGGGCCGACTCTTGATGATTGTTTTATACACTAGATCGATTCTTTAGTCAGAGAGAACGCAAAGTACAGCACTATATTTCAGTAAGCCGAAAGCCTTGAAGCCTACGAAGTCACAGAAGGATTTTGTATCCTCTCTCTTTCTCCCAGTTGCGTTGCTGTGGAAATTTGGTCGATAATTAGAGGACCGATTTTTGAAGCCTGCTTGTTGTTTCCTCGAATTTTCATTCAGAATCACTTCGATTCTGGTTTACCTAAGTGAAGATTCTGCGATATCAAGCGTATTGAACGATAGTCGCAGAAGTTTTCACGCGTACTTTGCTCAGCATCAGCACTGTTGTGGATCTGTTATCCCGATACTCTTCCTCACTAAAAATACTAGGTACATGGACTACTGAGCGCTTTTTGCGATATAATAAGGCTGAAAAAAAAATGATATCTAAAGATGTAATAAACACATATTGTAGTAAAGCCGATGTTTCCATTTCGGCTTCAGTGTATAGATGGGGACACCAGATTTAACGAAGCCTCGTCTGTATACCGTCATTGACGTGCTCGTAACTACTTATTTGTAAGTTCCGACGGATGGTATTATAATTTTTGTAGTAGCATCTTTTTAGGCTCGAGATGGTAAGCTTGCAGTGGAAGATATGGAAGGCGGTACATTCACGATCAGTAATGGCGGAGTTTTTGGTTCGATGTTTGGAACGCCAATCATCAATCCTCCACAGTCAGCAATCCTTGGGATGCATGCCATTTTCGATCGCCCTGTAGCGGTAGATGGGAAAGTTGAAATACGCCCGATGATGACCATAGCCCTTACATACGATCACAGGTAAATTTCAGATGTTGAAAAGAGTTCCTGTACTTTTCGTAATAACTTGTCAGCTACCTGATTTAACTTTTAGGAACTGTAAGAGTTTCCAAACTTGCACGCTTAAAAACTTCTTTGATCTCTGCAGATTTTTTCAGTAACTGCAGTCAGTAATGAATTACTATCACATGCAATGTGCAAGAACTGGAGAATTATTTGATGTGTTGATTAGTACAAACTAAATAAAATAGTAGCGTGCTCCGGAGTAGCTGGTGCGACCATGCATTTTGTGCAAATCTGCCCAGCGATCGTTTGTGCAACTCTGTCCAGCTGGCGCTTGTGCAACCCTGTTCAAGGAAACATTGCTGTTAAAAGTGCCCACTGCATTACTGTTTCGTATGTACAGCAGTTTTTTTGTTTTCTGAATTATTAGTTTTGACGCTGAAGTCTTTCATGCTCTTCTTTTTGAGACCTAGACGCATGCGAGATTAATTTACAGACGGTTAGGGAGCATTCTGAAATTTCAGCTTCCTACTTTTTCTGGTTTCCGAGTTAATAATTTTCACGCCAAGACTTTCACGCGCTCGCACTTGAGACCGGGGCAGGCGTGAAGGCGGATTTTAAAATTACGAATGTCGTGAGCAGAAAACATATTGAAGTTTCAGCCGTCAAGTTTCTTGGTTCCCAAGTTACTAATTTTGGCGCCAGTTCCGTGAATGAGACCTAGGCGTGCATGGACAACAAATTCAAACGCGAGTAAGGGACATTCTCCTAAAACTTCTGCCCCTTAGATTTTGCTGTTTCCGATTTATTTTGGCCCCAAAATTTTCACCTTTCTATAAGTGTGACCTGGGCGTACCGCAGAGGATGATTTTGCACAGGCAGGGTGCATTGCCCTGAAATTCCAACGTCCTATCTTTCGTGCTTCCCGGGACATTTGTTTTTGATGCCAAAATTTCGATTCATTCGTAAATGATATCTAAGCGTTCACGAGGGATGAATTTACCCACAGGCAGGGGTATTATCTTAAAATTTTGGCCCTCTAGCTTTCGTGGTTCCCAGGTTATTTATTTCGAAGCCAAAATTTTCATTTGTTCGTAAGTAAGACCTGGGGTGCGCAGGGATGAAATAAGGCGCGAGCAAGGGCATTTTCCTAAAATTTCGGCTTCCTGGGATCTGTTTCCTGAGCTTATTTTGGCGCCAAAAATTCCACTCGTCCTCATTTGAGATCTAGCATGCGAGAAGGATGAATTTGGATTTGCGGGATCATATGCGGACCCAAAATTTTATGCAACGATAAGCCTTATCTAGCGCAGTAAAGAATGAGATTAATTATCTAATTCACTGAGCAGTAAAGTGCTGATGATGACAGACCGAGAGAAATGTCTATCATACAATTGAGAATTTCCTTTGCATGCGATTTTTCTTATGTTAATGAAAGTTTTTGATAAATTTACCGACATTACAGATTGATCGATGGCCGGGAAGCAGTGCTGTTTCTGAAGAAGATCAAGACGACTGTGGAGGATCCTCGAACAATCTTACTGAACTTGTAGGGAGGAGGAAGCGTAACTCATTACTTATCATTTTCGTAATTTATTATGATTTTCTACAGTCGTTTCGTAAGCATCGGTTTGTGTTACATCCGAATTGATCTTTCAGGTACAGTGCAGTCAGCTTCTTTGACATTCAGCTCTTATTTTGTTCATGTGCTTTATGATGATATCATCACTGAAAGCTGTGTTTGCGGGTTCTTTCTCTGATTGTGAGGATAATTTATCATTTGTTTTCCTGAAATGAAAGACTACGCTTTTTAGCTTGTTGGTTTATTTTGAATTATGCTGGGATGAATAAGAAATAACTTTTAGGCTGAAGCCAGTAATAAATTTTTTTTCGAACCTAAGCATCCAGGAACCCTAATAAGTCTTCTTCTGGCAGGCATTTTCTTAATTGGATATGTCTGTATAAAAAGCGGACTGGAGATGATAGTTGCTGCCGCTACAGTTCTCGATAACGGGTTGTTTTTCAGCGAAGGGGAAAACTGCGAATAAATTAACACCATCTACAATCACGAAAATTTACTTTTTCTTCTAACGTTGAAATTCAGATGACGAAATCATAGTTATCGTTTCCTACAGCTTTCCTTAGCCAGCAGATGGTTGAGCAATGATTGAATATGAAAATTAATCACGATGCTTATGCCAATGAAAACTTTTCCACCGTTCAGTGATGTAACATTATACTGTCGCCGATTTTTATCTTGACTTGGTTGTTTTGATTATTTCTGCCTCCTCTTGTTCAGTTCAAGTTGTTAGGAACGAGGATGAGAGGGGCTCCTCATACCTCTGCTATTGCTGCGCTTTAATGACTTGTCATACCTCTAATATTTAATTTTACTGATAGTAGGCTTTCAGTAAATTGGCACTAGGAAGTTCAAATTACTTGAGATCGTCGGCCATTTCGGCAGCGAAGTCCAGTCGTCGTGTTCATCTGTGACCGAAAATCATAGCTATCCGGAATAACAATCAGAATCTTGGCAACCCTTGCATATTAATTTGGGCACTTCGTGACAGTATAAGACAATTTGGCAACGATAAAATTCTTTGATAACTGCACATTTTTAGGGTAAAACATCCCTGATTAGGGTTGGGGCGATTATGTCTTTGACTGTGCTGTGTGCTACATGGAACTGCAGTAAATTCTGAGTGTAGTTAAAGCGTTCATTGAATGTGTTTTCGCTACACTCATGTATTATGCACTGTTCGCAGCAGAGCGGAACAAGTACCGTTTTTTCCCTCAAGTGCGGCTGCTGAGTAGTCTGTATTCCGTTGAGCAAAATACCACTTGTAGTTCGCAAGCCTGATGTCTTCTTTGTTACAGTTTGGTTCCTTGCATGAGTGCCGAATTTGTTGTTTTTGAACCAAATCATTTTTGTTCCCGAACTGAGCAAAGTAGATGAGCGTTTGCAGATGGGATCTACGACATCTCGGCATTTTGAACGAGGAAAAGAAGCAGAAAAGTGAACATTAGCATTATTGATATCTTCTGCCACGATGTCCTGAAAAGGTTGTGGTCTGCGTCAAGATGATGCAGATGTGTGTGGCGATGTAGGACTGCAGCAGGAACAGCGGGGTGCTTTAAGGTAACTGACTGAGAATTGTGGGAAGATTTCACCGATTTTCTTTCGGGGCAACTGATTTTGATGCCTAATCAGTGTGGATAGCAATCACCTGTTTGTGGACGCGTAATGAGCTTTCTGTCCTCCTTTTCAGGCTGCTGTGCAGTATGGTGCTGAATTTAGACCACCGACCTAACTTCATACAGTCGTTTGTATTTTTGGATATTGAAGCCAGCGGAATATTCCCTGTAGATCATATGAATCCAATGGAGGGTCCTCCTATACCAGGTGATCGAAGGAACTTAACGCATATGCTGCAAAATTTTATCGGGCTAAGTGCGTTCTCACACTGTTTTTATGCGTTTTTTGCATCTATGTAATGCAGAAGACGCATATTGACAAGAGGTTGTCTCTATGTGTGTCTGTGTGTTCGTCTTTGTGTCTGTGTGTTCGTCTCTACCGGTTTTTCATCTCGAGACTGGCAAAGACCACAGGGCGTGCAGGTGCACGTACGGGCTACATGCACGTACGGGCTCCCATCCCCAAAATTGGTGCCAAAATCTGCGTGGTACCCGCGTACGGCCCGCCAAAATTTTTTTGGGGTCAGTTCATAACTCGAGGATCTGAGAAGCTAGAAGGCTGAAAT